ATTTGAACGACCCAGGGTTGGTTAATGACGTCATTGCAACCTCTCCACCAATGAAAGACTTGCATTTATAGTAAAATAGTGATTGATCAACCCTGGGTCGTTCAAATCCTGTATAATCGAAAACGCTATAAGACTAAGATTAAGATTAAGACCGAAGCATAAACCAGCCATTAGTAATCAAAAGTATAACTTAGTAACCTCGGGATGGAACTTGTGACGTCATTATTCGATCGCGGAACGAGTAATGGCCCTCAAGGCCATCACACACAAAATGACATAACTGCATATGCATAGCATAAGACCGTCTTGAACAACATGTTAACTTACATAATGTCAATTAATTACATGATGTCAATTAATCATGCTTATTATTACATTATTACTCATTTTCATTGTTTCATAATACTGTAGGTGTAAAGAGGGACGGAGGGGCGGAGGAGCCTCTCGACAAGGGAAAGGGGGAAATGGAGCAAAGGAGTTGAGCTGGGGGGGGGGGCTAAAAGGGGATGGGTAAAGCCCCTTGGCAGCGCCAAGTGTTTTTGTATTTTTTAATAAATATTTTATTTTAATTAAATTATTTAAATTTTGTATGTGCACTAAGAATAACATATCACTTACTTTTTAGAATCAAATTTTGATCAGTTTTATTTATATATATTATGTATATTTTATGTATGTTTATTTTGAATTTGCACCTTGAATAATATATCAGTTACTTTTCATGTTGGTAATATATTAAAAATTTAAATAATTATTAAAATATAAACATATTGGAGTGTCTTTTTTGGAACTTGGCCAGACCTTATCATTTATGAATTTTTGTGCTATAGTAATTTACTAGATCGCTTGTGAATTGCTGCAACAAGTTGCATGCAGGCTCGTCTAATACAAGCTTTTTCATATAAGTGTAGCATAAGAAAAAAACAGAGAAAAACAATGGGATTGTTTTGTCTCTTTTCCTTATAGGCTGTTGGAAAGCCTCCATTTTTTATATACATATGTGTAGAGTATACATGAATATATACATGTATAAAATTCAGTGAAGATAATGTACAACAAAAAGAGACAAAACAAATCGAATGATCTCTTTGACTGATCGCATCTTGAGCAGCACGGCGCTTCTCAATTTGTATAGATATCATTAAAATTATGTAAACGTATAAAATATAATAAAAAAAATTTTAAACCAATTTTCTTTTATTTAATAAAAATTGCCAAATAACTTTTTTATTTTGTCCTAAATGCCTTGATGGAAAGCTCCTAGTGTGACCATGTGTACAAAATGTTTAGAGAAATAGAATTTACAATATCTATTTTATTCAATAAAAAACAATCTTATTAAAAAAAATTATTGTACATTTCATAAAAATCTATTCATGAAAAATTCTTTAGCTTAAAAAATATGAATATAAATAAATACTTTATGTAGATTTAATTTGTTGCAATTCATCTGTTACATTTGTTAAATATTCCTCAACATTTGTTAACTGTTCGACGATATTCGTGTTATCCCAATCTTGTTCTTTGACTTTTCTTACAACACCTTGAAGTGATAATTTGGCAGTTCCTAATAATTTCTTCTTCTTAGCAACTGTGATATCAGTAGTATTAGATAAATACATTTGTGCTAAGTTACAACACAATGTTAATACATTTAAAGTTGTATTTTCGCTACGAAACCATTTTTGATCTTTCGAAGTCGCAGCACGATGCGCTTGTTGCAGATAATATGCCGCTTTTTCGATGTGCATCTCTGTCTTTTTTAATACGGTAAGTTGAGCATACATTGTCCAAATATCAGGGCACGAAATACTTTTCGTATCAGAAGTAATTCTTCCAAATAATTCTAAACTACTCTCAAGCAAAAGAGAAGCTGGATTTCCGTATGCATCATTAATATTATTTATTATAGCATCTACTAATATTTGGAGAACTTGGACATCTAGATGACTGTTCTTCAAATCTAAAATACGATGATAACATCGAATAACCTGGAAAAAAAACAAAATTATTAAAAAATATCGATTAACATAAATAATGTTGGTGTTAAATACAACATTTAAAAAATTAGTTTATACTTTAAAAAAGAGATTTTCTAAGAAATAAAATTTAACTTCTTCATTATAACAAATATTCGCACATCTATTGCACATCTTTTCGCACAAAAATCATAGATTTATTTCTATAATAGATCTTTATAACATTTGCTGACTAAATTATTAATTATTACAGTACTATATTGAGATGCTATTCTTATGTATGTTTTGTTTCAAATCAAACAGTCGATTAAAGTCGACGCGCAATTGTATGAGCGCTTAGTGGCTGTTGATTGTAGTTCAAACTAATATCAATGGAAATTAATCCAATACTTATGCTGATAACTTACTTCTGAAAAATGTTTTAAATCGATGCTGACAACCATCAAATTGTCCCATACTTCCCAACGATCATAATTACATTTTATGGCATCTTGTAAAGACTTCCAAGCTCTTGTTTTTTCGCCTAATTTTATATACGCTTTCGCCAAATTATTCCATGCCTCGAAAGACTGCAATTTTTATGTCAAATAAGAATTCGTATGTCAAAAATAACAATGCCAGAAATATGTGTATACTTACAGAATCTTCTAAAACGCTGTAACGTCTATATGCCATAGCAGCTAGCTTCCAATCTTCTGTCTGCAATGCTGCATAACCCAGTCTGAACCATACTAACTCTTGAATATTATTCAATTCAACTGACAACTTCAAGTGTGGTACAGCTTCAACATACTAAAAACATAAATCTCATGTTAGAAATAAATAAAAAATTTATATTGAAAAAATTAAAAATTTACTAACATTTTTCTTCGTGAAATAATAAAATCCCCAGTGTCTTTGTACTCTACTGCTTCTTTCCTCGGACAATTTCCACGCTGTTTCATAATGATTCACATCTCCAGTTGTATCTCCTAAGAGGCACCATAATTTCACCGTTGGCTTTTTCGATATTTCTTGTCGAATAACCTCAGCTGCCTGCAAACGTTTATAAGTTATGTATCAACTTTTTTTATATCATATATTCACGTTGTAGAAATTACATACCTTATGTTTCAAATCTAACGTATTATAACAAATAATCACGTTGTCCCATAATCCGAGTTTTGTAAAGATATCCAGAGCTCCTTTGACTAAGCCAAGACTAAACATTATGTTAGCCCATTTTTCCTCTAATATCCAAATAGGTTTCATATTGCTTGCAAAAAATAGATCCATTCTTCTAGCTACAGATGCTTTTGCATCAGTATAATCTTTCAGTAGAGACTCCGCTTGCATCATAGACCGCTCGATAGTTTTGTTATCAGACTCTAGCGAGCATCGATTGCATAAAGAAGTCATCTTTAACGACCAATTCTTTGTATTCTCTATGACTTTCTGTAAAAAAAAATTTTTTAAATAACATTTACTAAAAGAATAAATTTAATAAAACACTAAATTTATGTTAATATTAGCTTACGTTCAAATAAGGCCTGATTTCCTCATCAGTGAGATTATGCTTAGGCTGACACAACTGCAACTGAAAACTATCAACACGATTAAAATCTTTTTATATTTTAAGATGTTTAATATGACATGATGATATGAGCCATATATACTATTTTGTTAAAATGACTGCTTCCTCCATTGCTCCCAATTGAGTTTCTATTTTATGTTCTGAAAACTCAATGTGTTCTAATCTTGATTCGTCATTTAAATTCAAAGATTTTGGTATGTCTTCACAATCTATTGATGGAAAAATTTCTTTGTTTATTTCTACTTTCAAATACAACTGCGCTTTTTCCTTTTGCTGATACTTTGTACGTTTTCCCATTGCACCTTCTAGATTTAACGTTAAGCCTGCTATGTTTTGTGCTTCTTCCAGATGTTTTTCAGAATGTTGAGTAATTCTATAGCACAAATAAAATCTAGCAACTTCTAGATGAAATAAAAGCTTGCAAAGAGGATTTTTTAAAATGTTAAGATTGTTGATATTTGGTATTAAATTCTCAGTTTCTTTAAATAGTATTCCTGAATTTTCATCTAATATATATTGATGTAATAGATTAGCTCTGAATAACCACCAAATGCAGCTTTCACATTTTGACTGCAATTCTTTAATGGAGAATATTTTCTTAGCCAGATAAAGAAGCTCTAGTTTTTGTACATTTATGTTACATTCATCGTGTAACGATAAGCTTTTAAGTGCTTCCTCTCTTTTGGTTCTTAACCAGTCAATATCTTTATCAACATGAGGACCAGTCCAATTGCATTGAGCAAAATGTGATAATAAAGCTATTCCTACACACAGCCATGAATGGTGTATATCTGATTCAGCAATATCTTTATTCACTATTTCTTCTAAATTAAAATCATATTTTAAGGTTTCGCTTATAAATGCTGAAAGTTTGTTAATTATTACATCTTCATATTGGCCGTTCAATATATCACATACACTTTGTGGCAAAATAAAAGCTGAAATCAGAAATAATTATAGAGACAAAATATAATATATAATTTAATATAAAAAATATAATACATAAATTTAAAAAAAAATACATTATTAGCAAAAGTATTTGCAATACAATGTAGTGTAATTTTTACAAATTTAAAACCATATTTATGTATATAGCATACCTTCATTTTTGGAAAAATTGATTAAAAGTTTTATTTCTATACTTTCGTTTATCTGATCTGTATCTACAGCCATAATATCCTAAATAAATCACGTGGAACTCACAGACACAAAATTGTATTTTAACGAAGTCTAGATTTCACACAAAATTATGAATTGTGCTTTTTTTATTTGGAATAAATTATTACACTTTTAACTTATTTAAATTTTTGGATACACCTGGATCTCACTCCACTAAATTGAAACGTAAGAAAAATGTAAGCAGCTGATAATTAAGGTTAGATTGTTCTACGCAGGATGTGCAAACTCCAGACATGCCAGTTTTCCCACCGACTGCATCACATCCAGTGTTCCGATTAGGGACCGGTTTGTTTGCGCATGTGCGGCCATACGACGTCAGTAAAGCGTTTCGAACATATAAAAAGAGGTACCGTTACCCAGCTTCATTTAAAGTAATAAAAATTTTTTTAATGTGTAAAGTTTTTAATGGTGACTTTTATGTCATGCGTATTTGGTCAGAAGATGGCGTACTCTGTAGGCTGAATATGTAATGATTGAATGATTCCTGATTGGTTATAAATTCAAGCTATTTATATTTATGTGTGAGCGCGCATTTCAATTGTATTAAGATGTTGGTTTAAGCTGCGAAATGCGTTACCAAGGAAATATGTAAACAGAGGGATTGAGGCGAAGATCTGTTACTAAGCGGTCGTCTTGTTTCGGGAGACGCGCGACCATTTGGACGCTTTTCTGATTTGTAATCGTGATACGGTTTTCTCGAAGTTTCTATGTGTTATCGCGTACCCCATTAAACGAGATCTAGTAATAAAATCATCGTATCATAGTGCGAGATATTATTTATGGTGTATTAAATAACTTTACTAATAATAAAGTTTATAAAAGTTCGTTTTCATACGTGAGTGCTATCGATATATTCCAATTTCCCCTCTTATTAATTCCTGACTAATCGATATCTAATTCAATTAAACTAGATATCTTACAATATATGTTAATTGTAATTATTGCGATTGTTCTCAAAATAACAAATATTATTTTACGTTACGTAATAATAAATAATGTTGC